CTAAGCTTCCGATCTCATGCTTCACTTCTATGTGAAGTTTGTGCTGATGATGTTGTTCAGAAGAACAATGAAAGCTCCACAACCAAAACAACCAGCTCAGAGAACCAAACACCACCACAATATATATATATATATATATATATATATATATATATATATATGATTAGATCCCTTTTTATGCCAAGCATTCAAACACCAAACAATGATGTTTACTCTAGCCAAAAATTTTTCTTATGTTGATCAATAGTTGTTATTGATTGTTAGTTTACATAAACATTCGTTATTGTATTGATTGATAAGGAATCAGTTTGTTGTTGATGAGTTAAAATTCAATTTATTAACTGTCAATAAGAAATATGGTGGTAAGTGTACTGATGATCATTTGCTTTTGGTTGATTACTAGTTCAATACAATACTGTACATACTGACTAAATTCTATTCTCAATTTACTTATCACTGTATAGATAGATGCAGGAGGACAATTTATCTTAGGATTTATTAACTATGTTAAGAAGGTACGGAAGGTCCCACATCAGGACGAAACGGCTATTTTTTTAATTATTGATTCTTGATTTCAGTAATATAAACTAGTTACTTGTTACGCCCAAATGAGCAAAGGCCACTGACCAGTTTTCACCAACTAACTCTGTCTTGGGCTTCCTTTTACAGTTCTGGCCAATTTTTGTTCATTCTTCTCATGTCTGTCTCCATTTCTCGACGTAATGTGTTCCTTGGCCTTCTTCTTTTCCTCTGACCTTGAGGACTCCAAGTGAGGACTTGTCTTATGACACAGTTGGATACTTTCCACACTGTGTGCCCTATCCACTTTCGGAGCTTCTTCCTGAGTTCTTCTTCCGGTGGAATCTGGTTTGTTCTCCAACACAGTAAGTTGTTACTGATAGTGTCTGGCCAACAAATCCTGAGTATATCGCTTAGACAACTGTTAATGAACACTTGTATCTACTAGATGATAGCTATAGTAGTTCTTCAAGTTTCCACCCCCCCCCCCACACAGTAGAACTTTCATGACATTTGTACAGAAAATGGTGGCGTTGATGTTTGTTGAGTTTCAGATATTGTTCAATTATAGAAATCCTGTCCTTGCTTTGCCAATCCACGCCTTTACATCAGTATTGACATGAGTTTCGGATCATTTTTACAATGAAAAACAACACCTTTTTACTTGTAGCTAATATTTGTTTTAATCCTTAAGCATGATCTATAACAACTGCTACTTCAACTCAGTACTTAAAGGTTATTTCAAGTAGTTAAGTGATAAATATCGGGAAATAAGTTTTTGAAGTGTGTTTAAGGTAACCTACTATTGTAGTGAAGGAGAACACAGGTGGGGCAACCGAATTGTATTTAACGAAAATTACAGAGTTACTCAGTAAATTCGGAAAACCATATCGTAAATTGTTAATATGCAAAATATCAATCCATTATATCGAACTGGACTGTTCCTGTTGCAAAACATCAATCCATTGTCTGACATTTCACCACTGTTCATGCGTTTCATACAAATCCCATTGTGTTCCCCCGCTGTTCCTTTCTTGATCTTCCCCTATCTTCTGCTGCCAGACATTACGTTTAAACTCACGTCATATACTACTTATAAGTAGAGCGCACCACACTATTGATAAATTTTAGATTTAGAATGATATACTTGTGATCTATTAGGCCTTCATAGTAACCTATCTTTCATCAATTGTATATATAGAAGCTCAAAGTCCATTGATGATCTATGATAAAAATACTTTTTGTTTTAAAAGAATGATATTGCCGACATGTGTATTGATCTTTGGTCAAACAATGATAATTTATTTACACTCAATGGTCTGTTTGTGATTATTATTATTTTATTTACGTAAACTGTTAACATAAAACCTATTTTAGTGATCATAGATACAGGTTCAATGTTTTATATTCAGTGGTTTTTATGAGATCAGTAAGCTTTCTACATTCTTGACGATGAAATCAACTACTTGTGTGTGTGTGTGAAAAGCAAATCATGAGTGTGAAACGTTTTTTGGGCTAATCGATTAGAAAGTATATATCCATAGCTCATTCATAAACATCCTTACTTTC